AAGTATGGATTAACTGTGCCCTTTGATTTTACAGACCACCAGTTTCAAAAAATCTTAGGGAAGATGTGAATCGTAATATGTATGTCAGTGGTGTCACGGAAATTGAAGTCAAAAGCACAGAAGAGGCTTACAGTATATTCTGGAAAGGTGAGTTACCAGTACTTTTAGAGACGTCTCAGGAAATTATTTTCGGCTACTTTGATTTGAAACAATTCTTTATGTCAGCCAAAGTAAGCTTCTGTATTTGACTTTAAAACTTGACATGTATACAAGTGTATACAGTTTATCTGCATAAAATTATGGCTTGCATGTAAAATGATTAAATTTTACTTTCTGTGGAACCTCCCAGGCCAAAAGAAGAGGCGTGTTGCCAACACAATACTGAATCGTGAGTCTAGTAGGAGCCACAGTGTGTTTGCTGTCAAGATGGTACAAGCACCTTTAGATCCTGATGGTGAGGAGGTCTTACAGGTAAAATCTTGTTTTGGTTGATTTTTTTTAAATTCCTTCTGTTTAAACTCCTTAAGATAAACAGTAACAGTTGACCATGTTTTTAAATGTATCTCCTGAGCAGGATAAAGATCAGATTGCTGTAGCCACATTATCACTGTGTGATCTAGCAGGATCTGAGAGGACAAATAGGACAAGAGCTGGTGGAGACAGACTGAGAGAAGCAGGTAAAGTACAAAGGCTGATAGTTTCTAAAGAAACTGTTTGGTGCTGCGTCGGTGGGGATAACAAAATAATTTGAATATATCAAGAAAGTTGAAATGGTAAATTGGCCACTGTTACGGTTATAAAAGCTGACGTTTCGAGTGTGAGCCCTTTGTCGGAGCGAAAGACGAAGCGAAGGGCTAACGCTCTAAATATCAGCTTTTATAAACGTAACGGTGGCCAATTTACCATTTCAACTTTGTTGATATATTCAAATTATCAGGTAAAGTACACTTTGATAAAGGGTTGGAAATTTTTTTACAACTGACTCAAGGTCATGAGGTTTGCTATCAGCTTCAAATATTGAAGGTTGTGAAAATAAGCAGGTAACAGGCAAACTTTCCTGTCTACTCTATAAAATGTATGGGGTATTTGGAATGCATGTGACTCAAATTTCAACATGGAAGCATGATATTGTACCGCCTACCTGTACAAAGTCATGTACTTT